AGGGAGCTATTTTTAGACCTACTGCCATTGTCTCTCAAGCACCCTCATTCATCCCCATTCATCCAGGAACCAAGTTACACAGGAGGGACAGGTATGAGTTATAGGTTATGACATCGGGGACACAAGATGGAAACTTGACATGACTTATGCTAACATATATATGTAGGGCTAAATCATATAGTACCAGTAAAACAGTAATATGAAACAGTATATATCAATATAAACATAATAATTGTACAATATAAAGAAGGAGAAAAAACAAAACAAATACAACTTGCTACCAAAATAAAATGCTGAAGCTTATCCTATTTCTTAGCTCACTTATACTTATCTATAGGGAATAGAGAGGGAGAGAAAAAGTCAGAAATGGTTGGGGAAGGGGAGGGAATGTGTTTTAAAATTAAAAAAAAGAAAAACTGGGGGTTTTGCTACATATTGATTGCTTTTTGGTTCCATATCATTATTCTTTATTCTTTATATTTCAGTTGACTTTAGATTTCCTAACCAAGAGTAGTGCCCAATGTGCTTTGTGCTGTATATGCATGTACAGAGGACAGTCTCTTTCCTAAAGTGCTTATAATCTGCATATTATAAGCAAGGGGCAGAAGAAAGAAAGAAATCTTGTTGCATGAATAGGGATCTGAGATAAAAATGACTGTAGACATTGTAATTCAGGAATTAAACCAGATCTCCAAAATCCTAGTTCGGTACCTTAACTACAATTGTATTCTTTCCCTCTACAGTATGCTCATCAAGGTGATTTTTCTCTACTGCTTCAAATAGTATATGAACCAGATACAAAAAGAAAACACACGATGAATGTTTGGGAGGCAAAGAAACCTAAAAATAGTGTGTTTTTATAGGTGTAAAGAAAGACATCTTCTACAGCAAGATTCAAATGATGAGGCAGAGGTATGTGTAAACAAAAAAGCTGGACTTAGTTAGAAAGAGCTCTTTATGAGTTAGTACAATTGGTAGACACAACAGTTGCCCACTGCAACCAACACAGGAACGCTTCTGTTCTTGCACACTCCCTAACTCACCAAGGATTTTAATGATATAAAACACTAGTGAACGGGCATTAAGCTTTCCTTCCTGAACAAAATACAAATATAAGTTTATTGGCTTTTTGGGTGGTTTTTGTATCAGAGTTCAGCTCATTCTCATTTCAGTCCCTAGTCTTGCATTGTTTTGGGTCCTCTGCTCCAGAACCTTAACCAGAACAGTAGAGAATAAACTTAAGAGAGGGTCCTTCTCAGTGGAACTGGATCTAGTGCATGCTGGGATTAAACTCTCAACATTTAGTTAATGCTGTATGAGTGCAGGAAGCTTGCAGTGTATTCGCATTATCATCAGTACTTAGTGCCTTGTTGATTACTGAAAATCAGAGGGTGTATAAAATATTACTTGCATCACCAAGTATTTTTTGCACATACCTCTCTAGATGCTTTAATTTTGCTTTACAAATATTTTTTATGTAATTATCTGTATTGTATCATTGGACTGTATAGTAGAATAAGTTTTGTAGCTAATACAATATGACAAAGCCTCATCTGCTAAAATTAAGGTCATGATTGTTATCAGTTCTGTTGACTCTTGTGGGGGTGGGCAGGCAGGCATTTAAACCCGCAGGAAGATCATGTTAATTTTAGTGGGTATTGGATTGGGTTCCATTTGCAGTTTTTAGCAAAGTACAAATATTCTACAGTGGACCAGGAGACTTCAGTGTCACACTGACTGTATTTTGTTATAGGTGCTCCATGGGGGCTTTGCATTAATATTTGATCTTTGACATTAATTGGGGGTTGCCTATTCTTTTTCTCTATTATATTTCATACTCTGTGTGATGGTAATAGTGTGCCAAAGCTGCTGAATATTTATAGACTAAAAGATCTGCATCAATACGCTTAGGATGCTCCTTTTCTGCTGAATAGCTCTGCCAGATGAAAGCTTTATCCTGTTCCACATTAACATAAAACATATTCAGGTAGTATCAAAAGGCCACTTCTCCAGACTTCTGAAGGGAAATACAAGGAAAGTATGACTGGGATTGATCACCTATGAGAACTTCCAACAAATGTACTAGATACTAGATTGCCAAACAGACGTGTACAGTTTACCTGTCTTGTAGTTTAGCTTCCTAGCAGAAAACTGAATCTTTCTGTAGTCTAACTAAACTTAAATAACAGTGTTATTAAACTTGGAAAGAACAGAAACAAATGTGATGGTCTGTATTCTCCTTCATCACTGATAACTAGCTGTGCCTCTGCACAATTCTGCATAGTGCTGTTTTGTGTTGGCCAGGCCACTGCAAAGAACTTTTTGAATGTTCGGCTTGTTTGGTGTTAACTATATTTTCATGGTAAAAGACTATAAACAATCACCATTGTTGGTCTGTGTATGCTAGGCTGGGGTCTGCTTCAGCAGGATTGTATTGGCCAATACCTGACATATCAGCAGAAGATGAAACAGAAAATTGTGCACAAGACACTTACGATAGCTAGAGATAAAAATGTATGCATAAATTCTTCTTTGACACCTGTAGGCTATCAGCTTACTTTACAGCATGAGGCTTTATTGCCGTCATCATAATATCATGTTGAAGAGCTTAGATACAATGGAGTGTCTTTAATGTTCCTGTAATGGTTTAGTTCTCCAGCCAGCTTACTTGTCTTTATGACTCGCTCCAGCAATGAATTCCACAGGGTGATGATGAGTATTTTTGCACTTTGCAACATTTTCTTTATATCAAGCAAAATTGGGGGTGGGAGGGGGCAAAATGTGGCCCGCGGGCCGGATGTGGCCCTCCAGGCCATTCTATCCGGCCCACGGGGCCCCTAAAAATGTAGAAAGTTAATATTTATCTGCCACTGGCTGCCTGTCATGCAGCCCTTGAGATGTCTTGCCAAAACTCAGTAAGCAGCCCTTCACCCAAAATAACTGCCTGCCCCTGAGGTAGATGCTTAAAATCCACAGAGATTTATTACTATCTGATACCAGAATGTGCCATGGAGTAACTCCCATTTAGTTGGCTGAATTGCAAGAGGGAGGACTTTTGCAAAAGTATGGCGTTGCTGTTTTTTTTATCCCATGTCTAATTTTGTTTGTTTCTAAGTCTGCTTCTTTCTCTTTTGGCTCTTGGCGTGTTTTCTTTCATGTGTTGGGAAGTAGAAGGAAGGAAACAGCATGAGTAGAAGAGGAACCAGCGCAGCTCTAACCACATAGGCTAAGTGGGACTGATAAACTTGTTTGCCAAGTATGGATGCCAGTGTCTTCACTAAATCTTTAGAATACTGTCTTCATGTGGCCTTATTCACCTTTAAGCAGGTGTCTCCACATATGTTCTGTATGGCTTAGCGATATGTGGCTGAGTGTTGGCAGACTGCTAAGAAAGAGGGACAGGATCAAAGTAATCCAAGGAGAAACATCCTGTCTACTAAGTGGTCTTGGATTCCAGCTATATGGATGTACTGTATTTACTTGAATATAGATGACTCCTCAGTAATTAGATTCTATATATGGAAAACATATAAACTTGTTACAACTGTCCAGGCATAGAATCTAATAAATGGAGTTTTGCCTTGAACTTTTCCCCCTCCAACTGCTACAGCAGGGAAAATAAATCTAAGTATTCAGGTAGCCTCCTTACCCTCTGCCTCCTGCCAACTTCTTCCCCCTGCAGCCTCTTCCTCATCTCCTTACTGTTAGACCCTACTCTCCCTGAGCATGTGGGAGTGAGGAGCAAATTTGAAAACACTGACCTGACATAAATTTGCTTGTAGTACCCAAACACTTGTAGTAATATGCTTGTAGTACCCAGACACCTAGTTCACCCAGAATCGATACGTTTTGCCTTTTTAAAAACTGATGCAAGTTGTAGCACAGGCACTCTATGACCATACTTCTAAGCAGCACTTTTGAACCTACTTATATATAGTACAAACTATGCATGATATTAGTCCAAAGCCAAAAGGCGCACGATTTATGACATAGTTCATTGGGCTGGGTCCTAGCAGTCAACAGCATTTCAGACCATGGTGACCCCATAGCTCAGCACTGCTCAGTGTGTATGTATTCTCCAGATACCCACTACAAAGGATCCATGTGCTAATTAGCCAAAAGTGCTAGCCATGTGCTAATTAGCCTCCATTCATGACTGGAACCAGGTGCTTGTCATGAGTCCCAGGAGGCTCCAAAAACTTATATACATATGAGACACAGGGCAACCTGATCCAGCTTCATCTCGTGGAGGGTGGGCCCACACTAATCATGTGTGACAGGCTGAGAGAGAGGGCAGCAGAAGGATTCTGGGTCGAGGTTTGGGGCCCCATTTAGTTGATGTTTGCTAGACATTTAAGGCTGGTGAAGAAACAGGAATCATTGGAAATGGGAAAGAAAGGCATAGCTCAGCTGTGGGAGTGAAGCAGAAGTCAAAATTTATGCAGTGTAGTGGCTCATCAGGACTGGGAAAAGAGTCAGTGCTGAGTAGGACTGTGCTCGGTTTTACGGGCACTACAATGTGTCTTATTCAGATAAGCTGTACCAACATATCCTTGTGGTAGGTTCCCATCAGCATGTTTGCCTAATATGGGCCATGTGTTTTATAGTCATGCTCAGTGTTGGCTGCATTTAATCAACTTCATAGTTGTTTTCTATTACTGAGCACATGCTACTTTTGGCAGCAGTTTAATGATAGACGGGGCACATCTACACGTTGTCCTACAGCAACACAGCAATGTGCTTCATCGCTGTATGGCACACCGTGGCAATGTAGAGATCACACGGGTCGACATGATGACCAGCTACATCGCTGTAGCAGTGCGCTCCCCTGGTATAGCCGCACTACGCAGTACCACCTGTATTGCGCCGTGCTTTAGTACTTCCGAAAGGAAGTACTAAAGTACGGCACCGTAGCAACGTTGCCGTACGGCGACATGTAGACGCACCCACCATGTATTTAATAAGTTTCTCTTGTATGCAAATGTAAGATATAGGGCTTTCCCCCCCCCCCCGCTTAGTGGGGAAAAAAAACTCATCTTGTATTTGAGTAAATATGGTATCTCCAGCGAACTTTGGATAGTTATAGGCATATCTTATATATTAGTGTAAGTGTGAGAGCAAAATCAACCTGAATGGCCAATGATGATGATGAATTTAACACATAGATAGCAAGAGGTTTTGTTCAACAAAATGCATACATGCATCTCCCCAGTGTTTCCTCTGTTATAGGTAACCTTCTCACAGCATTGCTCAATGTATTAGGCCAGTGGTTTTTAACCTGTGGTCTGCAGATCCCTGGGAGTCTGCAGACTGTCCAAAGGGTCTGCAAAAGATGACTATGATCAAATAAAAGTATGTGAATACCCACACTTACAATTCAAGGAGGTCCACACTTCCATTCAAAATTTTTTAGGGGTCTGCAAATGAAAAATGGTTGAAACCACTGTTGGGCAAATATTCAACAGGAACTGTATGGCAAACCTATATACAGTTAATTTTATTGTTTTAAATCAAATACTAACTGTAGAATGGAGCAGGATTTTTAAGGGAATTAAAACAAGGGAAGAAACTGCATCTCATCTGATTATCCTCTGGGAGTTTTGCTTCAAGGCATAAATCAGCTGATTGAAACGCAGCTCAGCCCCTGAGGCAAGAGGCTTGCTAGTGTGAGTGGGACAAGTAAGAAGAAGGGGCAAAGGAAGAAGTTTAGGGTGGAGCACTAGCATGTCTAAGGATTGTAAGGAAATAGACTTTTCTTCATTCATTCTTTTGATACTGGCACAAACTTTGATCTGGAAGCTGTGAAATGCTCCAATTTTTGGCTCTTGGCTCCAATTTTTTCCTCTTGCATGTTTATTTGAATTTTTGTATTGCCTTTTTAATTGTTGCTATTATGATCAAATTAAAATATGTGGTCAGATCCACCTCTGTTCAAAGGTCAGCAGAGAGCCCTTTGCAAGTCTATAAAAGAGTTCAGCATTGGACTAGGCTGATTTAGATGTGACTGCTTTGTGTATAGGGATGGCAGAAGGCATCTGGCACATTGCAGTGCAGCTCAGGGTGGAACTTTCATGCCCTTGAGCTCCTTCATTGCTGTACAAAAGCAACACTGTGGGGTTGTGACCTTGTGCTTGCCTCCCTACCAATAGCGCCTGAAGAGGCAAGGGAGAGGGAGAAGAAAGGTTAGAAGGTAGATTCCTGTCTGCTTACCTGTAGAAAGGGCTTTGGGCAATTTCTTGAGGGAGTAGGTATATAAGGTCTACGTAATGTATCTGTGGTTCCTTGAGATGCTCAGAGGGAAAGCCTTACCAAAGTGAGGAGCAGTATTAGTTATTTTACATCTTACTGGGTGCATCTAGAAGAGATACTTACTGTGCAGTAGCTCGTTACTACTGTGCAGTAGTGCTGCCCGGAACGAACTATGATGTGGGAATCTACTGTGCAGTAACGGCAGCACTGTGAAGTCATTTAATACTTGGTTTTATGCAAGTACTAAATGACTGTGCAGTGGGCATCTCATGTAGATGCACCCACTGAAAGCTGAATATTATAGGAATGTAGGACTGGAAGAGACCTAGTGGGTCATCAGATACAGTCCCTTGCAGGCAACTCTAACCAAATATTCCTGTTCCAAAATTTATCAGCTTCAGTCTTAAAAAAGTTGGGGTTTTTTGCCTTTCCCTTTCTACTGGAAAGTTCTTCAAGAGCCTCATTCCTCTGCCAACTGGAAACTTTCTAAAATTTTTCAGCCTAAGTGACTCATAGTCAGTTATACTTACTTTTTTTTTTGTGCTAATGTTGCCCTTCAGAGCAGGGACTTGGGAGAGCTGGACTCAATACCCAGGTCTTCATTACTGGCTCATTATATGACTTGGAGAAAATACTTACACTTCCCTTTGTCTCAATTCTGTGACTGTCACATGGGGATAATAGCACTTCCTTACCTCCCAGGGTGTGGTGAGGTAAACGAATAACTGATTACGATGCACCTAGACACTATATTGATGAAAGCCATTGTGAGAGTCAGACAAGTATGTAGTAAAGCAGTCAGAATGCTTTAGAAACTGCTGTTTGTGGGTCTCTGTGAACATGAAGTGCCTGTAGCACCTGCCAACATAAGTATTGCAGAATGCAGACATTAGATCGTTGGTCTTTAACATTTATTAAACCGATGCCATTAGCATCCCCCTCCCACATGCTTAAGTATATGTACAATATTGCATAGACTGAGGCCTTGGTACAAATAAATATAGATAGCCAGATTCATCCCTGTGTTAACTCCAAGTCTCTGTAGTTCACCCAGGGAACCTCTCCCATTTAAAGTAGTCATAATATTTATGGTGCACCTATTTTCACCATCATTAGTATCTTTTTGAAAGAATGCTGTCCAAGAAGTGTATACTCAGTGAGGCCATGCCCCTAGTGGAATGCAATAAACCACAAGAGCTATATACAGGGCAACATCTCATCAAGCTGTGACATCTCGTTTTTCTTCTATAAATCATCAGTGTGTAGTTATTCCCAACCCATTATTTTGTGTTCCTTTGTTTTCCTCTTAATTTATTGTCACCAGTCCCAGGAAAATACACACACTGTTCTCCACATTCTCTGAAGTATTAATATATTAGCTAAGGTGAAGAAACACCGTACCACAATGAGTTTAAAAAATGTCAGTGTGCGATGCATTCCTTTGGCCTATACATTGCATGGTATAGGAATGGGAAATTGAATCTCTCTTAAACTAACCAGTAAGTCTTCCTTCAGATTACATCTTAATAAGAAAGGGAATATCTCAGGTAATCTTTGATTTGGATGCAGTGTATTTTAAATAAGTGTCCTAATTATAGTGCTCATCACTTAACATTAATTTAATGAACATCCTCATTTATAAGGACAAGGTTGGCAACTAGAAATTAATGTTGTTAAAACCACAAGTCTCCCAAAGGAAAGAAAAAACAACCAGAAAATCTGAGAAGAAAATTTAACCTTATTATTTATATACAAATTTGCCAGATGTACATTTTGTATAAATGCATGGGGGCCTTTAATATATGCCATTTTGAAACCACCAATTTTAAGCCATCTATGGACTGTGACTGGAGTTGCTGCTCACAGTGCACTTGCTACCTGATGGCTGCCTGCACGTAGAAAATGCTGTTGTATTTGGCACTAAATGGCAAGCTTGTTAGCCTAAGGCATAATGGAGTTTGAACCCTAGAGATGATTTCTTTAGGTCAAGATCGAGACAAATGAGCTTCTGCTGTGGACAGAAGACTTTTGACTTCAGTTTGTCAATCCAGTCCATCTTCTGAGGGCTAAAATCATACTGATATAAGCAGACGTGGTTAAATGGAACAAATGGCCTGTTTTACTGTATTATTCCTCTGAGTTGTAGTACTTGCATTATAGTGTTCTCAAATATTGAGGTGTATTTTTCTGTTACTTGCATGATGCCAAGGGCCACATTCCTTTTTTGATGATGTGCTGAGGTGTAACTGCATAGCATTCTAGTCACAATCCCTCTTGTATAGGACTTACAGTTTAAGACCCTGATCCTGCAAGTGGATCCATGTGGCCCCTGGATCTCAGCAGAGACTTAGGGGTTGCCCCTCTGGATCCAGTGCCATGATCAGAGCTCTGAATAAACAAGCAACACAAGGAATGACAACAGAGAATAGCATAGAAAAGGCACAGAAGGACAGTGCTGAAAGAACATGCCATTGTTTTTCAGTGGTGTTGGAGAAGCGTTCATGTTCTATTTCTTTGCCTTTCTCATTTTATTGCTTACTGCTAACAGAACAGCTGATTTTTAAAACACAAAATCTGTCAGGAACAGTCATTTTATCCAGACCGACTTTCTTTTCCTTCCGGTTTCTCCTAGAAGGTTTGATTCTAATGTAACTTGAAAGTTGGCTCCTGTGTGCTCATTGTGCACCTTTCTCACTCAGCATCCATGATTCTGGAGCTCTGAAGTTAAAGGAGAACAAATGAAACTGATGAGTGCTTTGGCTGAGTAAGATGAGAGTAAATTTGAAGGGCTACATTATGGTAGCTCCACAGACGCCATGATAAGAGAGCAATGCCATGCTTGTGTGCTCTGCAAGAGGCCTAGAATGCATTTTCCTTCCAGAGACTGAAGTCTCCCACAGTTGTTGGGTCAGCACACACTCCCCACTCAGGAGAACTGGTG